GTCTCTGAAACCTATTCCCACACATCTTCAATATATGTTATAACCCTTAGGATCAGAGGCCAAATTTCATACTCATGTAAAACAGGAGACAATACTAACTGCGTACATTTATATTGCTGTGCTTTCAGACAAGAAATGAGGAGCCTAGAATCCTGAAATATATCATAGAATGACTCCTGTTCTAGGACGACAATTTTACTGTGAAGAGAGTAATATATTATACCTATAGTTGGATGCAGCTATAGGCTGCTCTGTCCCACTGCAAGTTAGTTAAATCTCTGTAATTCATAATTTGGCGAATTTGATCTACACAGAAATCTATGTACACAGAGTGTTTATAAAGTCATAAATCTGTTTGGAAGTTCAATAACTTTGGAATTAGGGAATCAGCGTCGACTTTTCATTTGTCTCTCCACCTCTTAGTTTGAATTAACTGACGGATTTTCGTTAAACTTAGCATAAATATCACGCGTCTAGAAGCCACTCAGTGTTTGTACTTATTAAACCTATACAAACTGATGATGTATTTAGGTATCAAATTATTGCTATATGAACATTGCAGCAGTATTTGTAATTTATTCATTGCAAAATATATAGAAGTAAAATTGTCTTTCTGCATTATGTCTTTAAAACTATATCAAGTGGAGGTACAGCTCCATATATTCTCAACATCAGCCTTAGATGGAGGTAAATTGTTACTTGACTCATGTCCACTTTACTCCAGGAGAAAGAGCTACCGGTACCTGCTCTAACAGAGCCGCTTTGGACATTATGGCAAAGAGAAATATGCCTGCTCCTACCAGGAACCGAAACCTCGTAGTCCACCCCGCAGTCTAGCCACTGCACTAACTGAATCTTAGGTCTACATCTCTGCACTGGATGGTTCGTTAAATGTCATTATCAAGTGGAATAGTAGAAGATTAAAGGGTGGCCGTTTTCTTGATTTCAAACCTTAGACCTACATTATCATACAAGATACTCAATTTTTTTAATTCTCTTAGTGGGGGGGGTGGAGTCCAAGTGGGTCCATTCCGCACGGCAGCTACTGATTGGCCTATTGTACCTGCCCCTGGTGATTATGATGATGGAGAATTTAGTGGAATGAAGATTGGCAGAGGAAACCGAAGTACTCGGAGAAAACCGCCCCAGCGCCAATTTGTCCACCACAAATCTCACTTGACCATACCCGGGATCGAATCCAGGCCGCCGCGGTGGGAAGCCAGCGTCTGACCCCTTGAGCTATGGCGCGGCCGTATACAAAATACTGAATTTGTATTAAATATTTTTAGTGTCGCCCCAACTTTAAATATTCGCCATGTTAGCCGCCATGTTCGTATTATTCATGGTGAGAAATCCTTTAATGTTTGCATGTCTATCTCTTGGAGATCCCTGTGGAAAAACGGAATAACTTCAAGGAAAATAGATGTTGTAAGTTCCTCCCATAACTACTTATTTTCTTTTGTTGTCTTTTTAATTATGGACATTCAATTAATATTCTGTCTAAACTTTATGTTACGTGAAGTTACATTTTGTAATGATCCGCGTGTAAGAGAATTCCAGGCTTGGGGGCAATTAAACTACCAAAGAGGCGCTGTAATAGTAGCTGAAGGCAAGTTGCATTCCAGGAGATACCAACTGTTACTGTGAGATTCAGACGCACAACAATGTGCAGAATATTTGAATGTCGCGTCTCATGTGACGATCTATTTAAAGACGCTATTAGTAGTTCAAGCTACGTAACGTTCTTTTGGGTGATTGGCGAATAATGAACTACAATTAATGTGGAAGAACTTGGTAGTAGCTTAACTTGAAATAACTTAGTGTTTGCCTTGACAGTAAATTTATAATGGCAAACTGTCCTTGTGTTTAATTAAATACCGCACCAAGAAAAAGTATGGGGGAGTGGAGGTAGGCATATAACTCAACATATTTATAATCTCGGCACTAGATGACGTGCTTGAATGCTTCATGAAGCTGCAGCTTTAAGCTGGGGGGAAGGGCCCCAATAATCACTGTGTAGGGCATTAATTGGTCCCTAGAGCTCGTGTGGACGCTGTAGGATGAAGAGAAGTGTCAAAGTAACTAATTAAATAAGCAAAAGGACGGCTTTAGTTTTACATTTATAGCCCAATTGGAATCAAAGTTAGAATTGTCGAGCGCACAGACCGTACTCTATACCGACTGAGCTGTGAGTGGGTAATACCATACAAGCCGTCAAGACAACTGGTTTCTTTGCCGAGATTTAAACCCGGTATCTCCACAGTGATGTTCGGTGTTTTACTTATAAGTCAGATGCTGAATATCACCCGAAATAAAAATAGCTTAAAGCTAATAGACAAAAGGCCTTCTACTGAAACCGCCATACTATGCTGTGTTTTATTTATATATCCGGTGTCCGGAGATGGGGCTTAGTTCTGTAGAATATGCCCAAATGAGTGGGCCTGTTATTTGATGACGGAGGCAGAGCGCAGTCTCCGAAACGTCGTTTTAAATAAAAAGGCGGGACGACAGATGACGTCCAACAAGTTAATAAGTAAGATTTGAGGCTTTCACGGCGGTGACTATGAAGAAAGCAGTCTTCTGGGATTTGGCACCGTGTATATGTGGTGTTAATCGACGTTTCGGAGGGATGTATCGCCTCCATCTTCAGGGTAAAAGATGGAGGCGATAAGCGAAGAGACCGTGAGAACCGGTAAAAGTCTACTTTTACAGGTTCTCACGGTCTCTTCGCTTGCGGATTTCTTATATTTTTTCTTCTACCCTGAAGATGGAGGCGATACGTTCCTCCGAAACGTCGGTTAACACCACATATACACGGTGCCAAAACCCAGAAGACTGCTTTCTTCAAAGTGAATAAGTGTATACTAAGCTTCCTTGGCATTCCCTTGCTCAGTTACAAGAGCGCCAGGGGAAGCCTCATCAGCAACCATTTGAAATATTTTTTGGACATGTTGCGTCACCCTGCACGGCAGCAGGAAGTTCCCGCGCTTCCAAGTTCAAGTGCACAAAATGAGCGATGAATCACTTCTTGATCATCAAGACCATCAAGACCTACCAGCAAATGTTTGTCTTCAGACTCATCCAAACAAATGTTGAGTTGCTTTTTTCTTTTATTTGAACACGCTGTATCAGTTGGGATAATAGTTGATACGAGAAGTATGTTGCCATTTTAAGAGGTGTACTTAACACGGCGTTTCGGGGGTGGTTCTACTGCCGTCTTCAGGTGATTGGTTGTCATTATCCTCATTGGTTCTAACCCTTCTCCGATTCATGGTCAAATGAAACAACAGTAAAGGCAAGGTAAAATTGCCCTGTGCGTCATTAATTAATCACTAGGCTATGAAGTCGTGTGTGGGAGTTCAGTTATAGCCGTGTTACATCGACCTCGGAAATAGATGTTGAAATAGTAGTGGGTTCCTGTCTGACTCATATCGCACAAAACAAAAGGAAGTCTCAAATCCAGCCATTTCTTATACTTATAAATATTTGTATTTATTGCATAAACGTTAGCTACTCCATGTGGTAATTAAATGAAAAAGATCATATAGTCACAGTGATTATTCGCAATCAAGGTGTAATGTATACAAAAGGACATCTGAAACAATTTGTTACGCGTAACTTATTGATAAATCTATAAAACAGAAAGAAATGTAAACCTGTAAGAAAAGTACTAGTGTGAAGCAAACGATTTATCCGTCAAGAAAAAAACGGAAAAATTCGGTAACCTAATTTAAAATAGTTCATTTTCTTGTTATGGTAAAAAAATTAATGATCAAGTCAAGGAATATGAGGTGGGCAGGACATGTAGCTCGAATGGGGGAGAAGATGAATGCATGTAGGATATTGGTGGGAAAGCAGAAGGAAAGAGACCACCGGGAAGACAAAGGCGTAGGTGAGTGGACAATATTAAAACAGATCTTAGAGAGGTAGGATGGGATGGTATGGATTGGACTGATCTGGTTCAGGATAGGGACCAGTGGAGGGCTCTTGTGAACAAGATAATGAACTTTCGGGTTCCATAAAATGCTGGGAAATTCTTGAGTAGCTGCAGAATTGGCGGCTTCTCAAGAAGGGCTCAGCTTCATGAGTGAGTGAGTTAAGGTAAACTATGCTATAACTGGAACCCGCGGAGAGCCGGTACATAAAATACGGTACTGAAATAAAGGCGGTTTATGACCGCTGCCTCTAATATTGAAAACGAAAGAGACAGTGCGCCTCCTCTCATCATGTCAGTCAACAATTAAAGTAAAATTAAAGTAATGTTATCCTTGTAAAAGGCCTTGAAGGCACATAGGGTTGTGAGACGTTGAGGCTCCCACATTTTCAAGACAATCGGCTCAAAGATGGCGGTAAGGTTGTCAGCCTTACGCTCCGGCCGCCCTTTACTCCCCAGGAAATTCCTAGTACTAATTTCTGTTATAGACTGAGTCAACCCTAGGGTCATAGTGCAGCCGGAAGGATTAGGTGAGTTGAAAAAATCTAATGACCTCATCGGGACTTGAACCTGCGACCTTGCAAGTGAACAATTAAAGGCTTAGGTAAAACCAACTCCCGAAACGAAGTGTAGGCTATATCAAATCTACGTCAGTTAAGGGACAGTGTCAAACATAACCGCTATGCAACATAAATTTGCAAGGTATTTTCTTGGGCCAGAATTATCTCTCAGAATTTTCGCAAACAGAACTAGCTCTCCAGGGACAAGCCTGTGGGGATGGGAATTGAGTAGACTGTGTCCTCAGTGGTGCATGTTAGAAATAGTTGCTGGAAACCACGAACAGAAAATAATGTAACGGCGAAGATCACAGGTTGCAAAATTAAATTTAGAATTGGGCTGGGGGGGGGGAATAGAGTACTTCTCGCAAGTTGTACGTAAACCTTAGTATACATACGTACGTTGCAGAACTGTAGATTCGGAGAAACAAAAGAATAACTTTCATAGCACTTTCACTTTATTGGAAGTGGTACATATTTCTATAACTGTTTATAAAGTTTGCAAACAAACCATAGAAAAATAATTAACATTCTATGAAACGGCAAGAAATTCTTTCACCTGCCACTACCTTACAACTGATCTACCAAGTCAATAATCTGTAAACAACATCTTTGTCTAAAATAAATAATTGAAATATTAAATAATTTCTTCAAATCATACAACTTCATGAGACAGATTATGGAAGTTCTCGGAATTTGTATACGAGATCAAATTTTGAACTATGTGAAATGGTGCAATTCATCATTTATTTTCAATGAGATGTGGGGCGACGGGTTTAGGTTTCAGGGCTTGCTTTTCCTGACTTTCTTTTTGCCTCTTTTTTGTTCACATAGAAATAAATTTACTGATATCTCAAATCCCAACCGAAGTAAGCTTGTCAGAAGAGATACTAACAGGCTTGCCAGTTTGTGCCGATTTACGTTTTTCTCACTTCCTGGATATCATATTCATGCAATTATTAGCGCCTACATTTATGTGACACCTGGGACCTTGTTCGTGCACGCGGATCAGCTCAGTAGTTTAAATAAAAGCAACAAAGGTTTCTTCCATTTTTTAAATTTATTGTTTTCTTATATATTTATATGTAACAATTTCTAAACTGAAACAAATGAACGTAAGCAGTTGTTTTGAAAGGCTCAAAAGAAAATTTGTTGCTGCCCATTTCATTTTTTTCGGTAGTCCACGAAATATTTTTCGTTGAAACGTTTTATTATTAATAAATGTCATTTTCTTTTTAAATGAGTGAGGAACGTAAATCTCATGAATCCATGGACAATAAAGAGGCTTCACTATAAGCAATTGCTCATATTGTGTTTTCCTTTGTAGCGACGTTTTCCTGAAAAAGCACCCACCGTGTAAATCAAGGACTGAGGCTGGATCTGCACTGCAATTTATAGGTGCACTCCTCAGGTAACTTTTCCTTTGCAAAAGTCTATAGATCTGATTCATAAATTGTCACTGGCAGAACACTTTTTTCACACCGTTGTTACAACCGTCGCATTATGCAATCCTCGTTCACAGTTTGCTCTTTTCTTGTTGTCTGCATCCAAGTTGTTTCAAAACACAGCATTCCGCCAAAAATCTGGAAAACAGAAAGATCCTCAAAATAAAAACATGCGTGTTATGTATGAACCTATGACATGTGGGTTAATGCTAATTTTTTTACCTCGTTTAGGTCCTCAACAGGAAGCACTATTGGTTTCCGCCTCAAATGAGGAATTCTTTAAACGAAACAGAAAAAAAAAAGATCTCAAATTATCATTGTTTAGTAAAACTCACTATTGCCTGTTTATTCTAGATTATTGTTGCTTTAACACTGCTAAAAGTAGCTTCATGAATAGTATTAGAAGAACCCATGGGAGTTTAACGTGGAATGATTAAATCTGTATCTTTGTACCACACGCCATATTTTCACTACTTTTATCTGTCTCAAAACTTTTATCTCGATTAGTCCTTTCGTCACTAAAGTACTGAATTAAGTTACATATGATGTGTTGGAGTAATATAGAGCTGCCATATATGTAAGCACTTGAAAACTATGACTTGATGTCCACATAAAGTGAGTCCTCTTATATTATGCCGCGCCTGTAGATTTAAAAGTAGGTAGGGCTATTTCAGATTGGTAGGATTTGTAACATGCATGGGGAGAAGATGAAATAAGTTCACGAAAGGTCATCCCTCGCACATTCCTAATAATACTGTCACATAGTACACTTCGACAACCTTAGCAGTTGGAACAGCATTATATATGGGGAACACTTACTCAACCTACGAACTTCAAATCTGGTGATGGAGACAACATATATCTTTGAAATGTTGGCAACACTACCAACATTTATGCACATAAGCAACACCAGCTTTCCCAAGTGCTTCATGTATTTCCAGATTCAAGAGGTACAGTCATCTTGTCAACATAGAGTGCACGTTGCAGTTGAGAAGGCTTCTTAAATAGCTGTTACTATTAGACTTATTATTGCTGCTGCTACTACTACTACTATACTACTACAACTAATACAACCTCCTCCACAACCAACACTACTACTACGACCATCACAGCCTCCTCCACAGACAACATTACTACTACTACTACAATAACAACCATCGCAACCTCCTCCACAGCCAACACTACTACTACTACTACAATAACAACCATCGCAACCTCCTCTACAGCCAACACTACTATTACAACAACCATCACAACCTCCTCCACAGGCAACACTACTACTACAACCATTACAACCTCCTCCACAGACAACACTACCACTAAGAAAATAACAACCATCACAACCTCCTCCACAGCCAACACTACTACTACTACTACTACCACTTCCTCCACAGCCACTACTACTAATACTAATTATTATTATGTTCTTATGATAGCAATAAGCTGATTATGATGATGGTGGTGATGAACATCGGTAAGAACGTGATGAGTATGGTGATGTTTAAAACTGTGAACATGATGATGAAAATGGTGCTGCTGATGAAAGAAATTGTTGCAATGGTCGGATGATGGTACAGTGTAGACGAAGATCTGCAGCAGAGAGTTCCCATGTAGCTCTATGTTTGCCGCACTGGCCAGTCTTTGTATGCGGCTCGTGAGACATGTGTGCAAGTGACAACGTGTGCCTTCATTCATAGAGTGGAAGCTGCTAAGTGCTGGGAGAGAGAGAAAATGAGTAACCGTCTCACCGCTCATTACAGAAAGGTCACAATTTCCGCTCATTTGGAGCAGGAGCAGTGACAGTTGTCGCCGGCAAGTGACAGACGCAATACTACCCAGGCTGCAAGACATATGCTCCCAACAGTAACAACACCACGTGCTTCAACTTCGCAATTAACAGTAAAGCAGATTTGTAATTAGAATTTCAGCTGTGGTCGTTGAGCATTTTCACCTGTGCTCCGTCCTTTGTCTCGAATGTCGCATAATATCTTCAACGAAGATAGGGTAGTTAATTTACAATTTTTCAAGGTCACGTCCGTTATAATCATTCCCTCTTTTCATTCAACCGCAGAGAGAGACTGCAATTGAAACAATGAGATTAAATAAGATTATATAAACTGTGTGACCGCCTCTGTGGTCTAGTGGTCAGAGTTCCTGGCTAGAGACCCAGAGGTCCCGGGTTAGATTTCCGGCGCTACCAGATTCTCTGAGAAGTAGTAGGTCTAAAACGGGGTTCACTCAGCCTGGTGAGGATGACTGGGAGCTGCTTCAAGGAAATAGTGGCTCCGGTCTAGAAAACCGAAATTATCGGCCGTGGGGATTCATTGCGCGTTGCGCTGACCACGCGAGACCCTCTGTCTGCTAAAGTTGGCACTAACTTCGCCGACAAGCGGCGGTCCCTCGGTCGGTTTAGTTCGCTTGCGGACTAAAGCCACGGAGTTTGTTTTTGTTTTCTTCTATATAAACTATGTTGGATTTACAGTTCTCACAATGGCGATATGAAGAGTGCGATCATCTGAGATTTTCCCGAATTAAACGAAGTTACAATGCGCTCTTAAGTTCAGACTCGTTTGGAACAAAACTGCGTACGATATAAATAAATTTCAGGTTTACTGTAAAGCGTGAATTATGATAAATGAGGAAGAAAAATGTGGCTTATTCAGTTTATTTCTCCAACTATTAATCTAAGATACTAATGAATGCCATATCAATTAGAAGCGCCGATCTATTATTCGAACTCGGGACCCCCAAATAGATATGCTATGGTACTGATGATTTTGATGATGACTATCTCACGGAGATGTTTGCATTTAAACGAATGTTAGAAAACGGCCGTCAAACGTACTGAAAAAATTCCCGCAAAATTACCGTCATAACCTGAAGTCCGCTGATGTTTTCTGAACTCGCAGTAGTGACGCAATGGCTCGTGGCCTGAGCTCGTATGTCGTGTGGAGAGGAGAGATGTAGATGGATGAAAAACGTAGAAAAGAAACTTGTGGAACAAGGCCTGCAAACCTGTGGCGCGAGCACCGGAAACCACATATGGCCCACGAGTTCAGAAACTATAGTTAATGCCACATGCACGTGTAGATCGGGCAACGCAATGATTCATATGCATGGCTTCTGTTATTCATATGCAAACCATTTCATTGTGATGCAACAATAATTCCACAGATTTGAAAGAAATAGCAATATATGAGGGGATGCTTGGTCTTGTGTGTCGGAGTTCTCACATGAGATACATCTGGAGTTAAGTTCAACCTGGATACTGAATTCCGGATTTTTTTGGCCCTGAGTTTAGTGTAGGCCTCTAATTCGATCTTTGTGATAATTTAACATAATTCATAAGACTGTTGCCTTGATGATAATTAATAATAGGTGTTTTGTATCAATTTATTTGTCGTTTAATTAAAGATACATGCTCTCTGACTTATTATATTCCTACAGAGCTCAGTTGGTATGAAGACTAGGCTAAGAGCAGCACGACCTAGGAATCTGAGTTCAATTCGCAACAAAAACTGGATTCTCTTCTCTTTTTCACAACATGAAGACAGATTGTGAGGCTGAACAAACCTCTTATTTGACGATTACAGGGACCTCTTTTCCGATGATAAAAGCGATCAGGGCGTGAAGCTACAAATCATTCTCATTTATTCCGTCATGGCGTAGTGCTTAATTAGACACAGGGATAAATTTATATATTACGTTCTACATAAGCTCTAGAAATCCATTGCAAGAAAATCTGCGCTTAAATTTTGAAAATATATTTGTTATTAGTACGCTTCTACGTTTTTAGACTCGCACCCTTAATTTCTGTGATGTTCTGTGGGACAAGCCGTATAACGAGAATTGTATTCCCCCAAGCTACCCGTGCTGATTGACAGCGTCATATTTTGGACACTTCCATTTTCTTATTAATTGTGGGAAGTGCGCGCTCCGAGAGAGATGGGTCACCTCTTCCATTGGCAATTAGAAGAAGGGGCTGTAGTCTCAGTAGCTGATGACACTAAGGTCACAAGTTCCGTGGTTGAAAGTTCGGATGAAAGAGCTTTCACTACTCCAAAGTGCAAGTAGTTCCACATACTCGTATGTAGCTGAGTACTTCTGTAGCCCTCACCTATTTCCGTCTAAACGTTGGCATGAGTTCGTTTTAACTTTCTCCGAATCCGCCATGATGTTAATTTGATCTTCACCGTCACCATGGGGCCTTGAGAAGGCGCTGTACTGTTTCAAGGTGTCATCGCGAATCAAGCCTTGTCTTCAGCGACTCTCTGCCTGAACCTTAGTAATGTTTACGTGGGCTTTGAGCACTTTTCTTCATCAGTGGCCAGCAAAACTGACATGCTCTCCTCCCAGAATCCTCCAGTCCTTGGAATGAGTCGACCAATTAGGTCATTCCTCCATTTATATTCCTGTTGCTCCCTCAGGAGCACAGGTCATCCGCGAAACTCTTCGTTTCACGTCAGTTTCTTAATCTTTATGGACAGTCGGTAGGACTCCTTGGACGGGGGATCAGCTCGTGGCAGTACATACACAGGACAACACAAACACAGAATAAACGCACACATGAACATCCATGCCTTAGAGCGCGGCCACTGCGATCTGCTAACAATTCGATGTATCGATGTCGAATTCTGATCAGTAGTCAGACCTGCCGAGACAGTGTTGAATCGTTCGTCATGCCCAGCGTGAAGAAATGACATGGGTGTTTCGGAGGGGAGAACCGATACCGAGCCTCTGGACTGACCGACATACCAGTAGTATATTGGCCCTTCGAAGGGCTGTTCTTTGGAGACGTACTGAATGGGAGAAATTGCGATTACTGCAACACGTAACTATTAAACTACATTGCGCTACATTCCAGAAGGCCGTGATATTCATAAGCACCTTTCCAAGAACTTCACATCTCATTTTCAGCTATAATGAAACCTAAATTTAACACGCATTTTCAAATGGGCAGTGACTGTCCATGCTTATAAGATACCAATACACTAATCAATTTGTCAGTACATCGAAGATCTCATGTTAATTATATCAGCGTACGGGTCGTGCAAGCATTACAAAAAATCATATACCTTACTTTACGGCATTGTCCAATATTAATATTGGACAGGTGAGATTTATAGCATGAAATTACT